TTACCTTCTCTATCCTAGAGAAGGTAAAATGAAGAGAGGTAAACAAAAAAAAAGATGTCATATGTGGTGTCATAAAAAGATGACCATCGTGTCACAATTTTGCTCCATTTGTCATTTCCTTTTATCATCAGGTATCGTACGTATGGGGTCTACCAATAAGAACGTCCTGGTTTAAAAATAGAATAAAACACATAATTTTTTATGAAAAATGCATCCGATTGATTTATTTGATAGATAATTTTATGCAATTTATGTTTTAAGTAATATATTGGCCAAATGACAGCCGCGGCTCTTTTTGCAGACGGTCACCCTCTCACGCCAATTTTCGATAACGCGGTGCACCATTTCGGCCGGTATGTCGGCTATGGCTCGTCGAATGTTGGTTTTTAGGTCACGAATTGTAGCTGGATTATTGCTATACTCTTTAGATTTAATGTAACTCCAAAGAAAATAGTCTAAGGGTGTTAAATCACACGATCTTGGTTTCCAACTGATCGGTCTATTTCTCGAAATTAACGACTCACCAAACTTTCCACGCAATAATTCCATGTTCACTCGAGTAATGTTATGTGATGCACCGTCTTGTTGAAAGTAAAGTTCGTCTGCATCAATATCATCAAATTCCGGAAAGAAATATTCGGATAACATCGAGTTATAGCGCTCGCCATTCACAGTAACAGGGTTTCCTTCGTCACTTTCAAAGAAGTTTTGGACAATTTTCAAGCGTTGGTTTAAAGTGAAACGTGACGTGATAAAATGGCAAACCTTACTGAATACAAATATCAAGAGACGTCAAAGATCCATCATCAAACATGGCCGCTATGAGCTGTCAAAACCAGGTCATCCCTATTGGTAGACCCAGTATATTTTTGTTTCTTTTGTAGTTGTTTCTCTGTGTTGTTGGAGGGTTTTGGTCTTTGTCCCCTCGAGGACCAGTCGGCTTGGGGGAAAATGTATTTCTTCTGTTTGTTTACTCTCGTAGTTGTTTGGATTTTCCGTTTACCAGTTAATTGATATTGTTTATTGGGTGTAGGTTTATTGGTAGAAGAGTTCGATCTGGGTCTCATTGCATCGAACGCATTTTTCCTGTTAACTTTGACAGAGCATAGAATTTACTGTTTTCTGGGTTAAGTTTTGGAAGGTGATGGTGAGGTAGCTGGTTCCCTTTTCCTTTTTTCAGGGTTGGATTCTTTGACTACTAGTTTGTTGTAATTTAGAAAAGCTGTATTTCCCTTTTCTCTCTCTTCCTTCAACTGTTGTAGCAGTGCTTTCCTTTTCTCCAAAACTGCCTTCGTGTAATCCTCCGATACATAAATGTTCTTTAAGCTTTTTCTATTCTTCATTATCTTTTCTCCATGCATTTATAAAAGAACATAGCACCAGCCTTGATTTATTCTAAACTATATTTTTTCCCAAGCGCTATAGTTTGTTTATTTTGGATTGCTCTATATTTATGTTTAGGTCTTCTTTGGGAGTCACCTTGACACTTTTAAATAGCTCCGATGTCGAGTTTTCCCCCTGGAAGAAATCCCCCAGAAATAATGATGTTATTACTTTTGTTTTCTCTTTTCAAATATTCTATCTCTTTCTCTAGATCACTAACTTTTTGATTTAGTTGTTCATTTTTCAGTTCATTCAGTTTTTCATCCATCCTAAACATTAAGCTTTTTGTAAGTGATTCAGTTAGATCAGCGGTTTGCTTCTGCATTTCTATCTTCATATTGTTGGATAATAGTTAAAATTGTGACTCCATATTTTTATGTATAGTAACGTGGAATGGAACGTAGTATAAATCGTAGATATTATTTTTCATGTACTCGCAACACTGGAGTTAATGTCAACTTAACAAACTGACATTAAGTATTCTATTTGGCAGATTTTGTACTTGAATGTTCTAACCTCAAATGTGGTTGTGAATTTTCTTCTGCACTTTACTGGATAGACCCTGTTAATATCCCAGAACTTTATATTTTCTGCGTCAACCTAAGTACTAATTATGTGGTATGTAATAGTGTTGACGACTAAAGCAACCTATGACTGTTCTTTAAAAAACGATTTGTTACGGATAGAATCAAAGTAATGTTTACACTCCAACGACCGAAAACGGAACCCAAGAAAGAATAAGAATAGTGAAAATTTAAATATTAGGTTGCTTTGGTTAACCTACTAAACTTATGACTGAAACTTATGAATAAATGAAATTAATATTATACAAATGAACATTTATAAAAATTTCGAAAAGGATGAAATTATGTACTAAAGGTCTCATTTGAGAAATTAATGTATGTAATTCTAGAATTATGAAATGAGTTGTTTTTTATTTTCAGATTAACAGTAACTTCTTTATCAAAGCTTGAGTGGCGTTGTTTCAACCCTTATATATGTGATTGCCGTTACATCTTTAGATATATTAATACGTAAAGAAAATTCTTTGTAATCCTTTAAGCAAATATGGCGCACAGAAACATATTATATTTGGAATACGCAGTGTTTAAATGTAGGAGTAGACTCTAAGTTAAACATTATTTAAAGATAGCAACATGAAACTATCGGTGGTCATTGTATCCAATATGTTTTTTAACATGTTATGGTACAAAAGTAAGTCTATTTACAAAACTTCGGTATCGCCTAGTACTTGGATTGTGGAGGTCTAATGGTAGTGGCTTTACGCAAAAAATGGAACTTCAGCTATGTCATAATAGACTGAGAGTCGACCCCTAAGTAGTATGGGAAAAGGCTCGGAGGATGATGATGATGTTACAAAAGTCTATTCAACAACAGTTTAATTATACTAATGGTCAATGAAATAAAATGACATTCAAAATCCAAACGGTCGAAATTCGACTGTTAGGATGTCTCTAGTAAGAATAAAGTGTAACTGTTATTTGAGCCTAAAATCGCACAGACTGTCTGAAAGTACCTCGGTAGTTAAACAAAAATATTTAATAGGATTACTTTTCAATAGAAGGTAAAGGTATTCCTAGGTACTACTATTAGTTTTAATTCCCATGGTCGATGTCATTGATTAGGGTTATCATCATCATCATCATTATCAACAGTCTTTAACAGCCCACTGCTGGACATACCTTAGAAAGAGGGTTTTGCTACACTATACTACGCTGGTCAGACGGGTTGGTATAGGGTTTATGTCAACTTTTCCTTCTCTTTGCAGTGTTATTGTTCTGCCTAGTTTGCTCCCTTAGCCGGCCCTTACGACACCCCACGAATGTGGGTGGTGACAATCCGTATTCTTAATCCGTCGCGACACAGACTAGGGTTATCAATCTATGTATAATTATATGTATACAATGCAAATTATCAAGTTCAGTGATTACTTAAATTAAGTATGACGTTTCAGTGATATTCTGTCAAAAAAGTTAAATGATTAAACCCATTACGTACCATACTTTTTAGTCGAGACATGTCAAACATGTTTCACACATTTCAGTAAAAAAATGTAATAATAATAGGTATAATTTGATATTAACTTCACACCATGAAACAAAAGAAACGAGAAACAACAAACTGATAAACAATTACAGGCAAGTCAAATTTTACCTGATATGATTATCATCATCTGATAAAACTTTATTTAATTTGCTATTGCAATAAATTTACTTATAACAATCGTTTTGGTATTTAATGTATATTATATATTTGGTAAGGTATACAATTTTCCTCTTAACCAAATCCGTCCCCTGCTGTCTGAAAACTACGGAGGTTTAACTCAAAACGGAAACTCACGAATGTGTCCGAGATGTGCCGAAGTCCAACTTATCTGAAGTTTTCATGGTGCCTGCCATAACTTGAGCTCGTCTCCCTCCCTTCAAAGTCCTTTTATAGGGTGTAAAGAACGAAATAATGGTTGATACAGGGGTTCCCTTTATCGTGGTCAGGCTTAACGGGGCATGCGCGACGTACATCGATGGATCGGGTGAAGCCAGGTGTTCCGAGAAAACTAGATGTTAATGATACGCTAGACATATCGTAATGCCTGGATTACATCCAACTTTAGACTTCCTTATTTGTGTAGATATAATATGACCGATTTTATTTATAAACGAAACTCCTGTAGGTAATATTTGAAACTCTACTCTATGCAAAACTTTTTTTTCACAAAAGCTTCTGTGTCTATTGGATTTTTCATTAGTCTATTTACTTGCTATTAATTCTGCAAAAAATATCTGATAGAAATATAAATTGACAGTGAGTGGAGCACACTATATTTGCTCTCATTTTTGAACAAGGCGAAAGTTTCCAATTGGTTGACCTTTCACTCCTCACCGATAAACGTACTTAAAAATTTAGATAATTCCATCAATAGAGATTAAAAGTTGTCATCGTTTATCATAACTTAAGAACTTTGATGACTGAAATTCTAACTGAAGTGTCTGTTTCTCTAAACTTATTTGTAGATATTTGCATGAGTAATGAACATATAAGGGTAGTAAACTTAATTTTTTTAAAATAGAGAAATACATAAATAGATTTGATTATTTGCTTTCATTGAAATGTTATATTATCTTAAATATAGTGATGCTGTAATAATAAACCGTTACATTGTATACGTATGTCTTTCTTTTTATAATATATACAAAGACGCTTGTGAAACCTTGACATAACACATTTTAAACATCTAACAGAACATTGATTTCTTTCTACACTTCCTACACATTTAAGGACACAATTATGGATTATGTACATTATGTATTTGATTGTTTCGTATTTGAGACCTTCGTTCAGCAGTGGACGGCGATAGGCTGATGATGATGATGTACTTAAGGATCCAAATCCTAGTATCGTAGTGATAATGAATTCGATTACCATTATAATTTGTTTTTTTTTTCTCTTGTATTGAAGTTTTATTCCAAATCCTTAATTTCATTTTCACCACGCCAATGTTCTCAGTACGAGCCGTAGTAAATGGCTCATTTGTGTCTTTAGACTTTAGAGGAACATTCTAATATTTTTTATACTGTAGTAAATATTAAAAGATGTTATTAAAATTCTGTTACATCCATTTCGGACCAATCTCGTTTAGGTGTTGCTTCTGCAATGTAAAAAGTTTATGCCTAGTATTAAATAGAGAAAAATGTGAGAAAGAGATGGGAACCTTAGAAAATTATTAAATGTTACTATTTCTCAAATAAGATTTTTTTTTGTAGTATAGAAGATCAAAAAGCAGAAAGGTCAGATGGTAAGTGACAATCACTGCCCATGGCCATATGGAAATCAAGAGACACTGGTGCGTCGTCGCGGTTTGAGTGCACACTACAATTAGAAGGGCCGGCGGTGCCTCCGGTAACCTCAGTCAATCCCTGAAAAGCTACGAATTGCTTATCACGGGTTTTCTGTGATAAGCATCACCCTGGTATCACCCTGGTTAAGCCGACCAATTTGTGTTTGCTTTGACACAAATTGGTTATTTAATACTGATTCTCCAATGGTTATTTTAATGAAAATCAGATTTATAAAACTCACCCTTAAAAAGTCCTCTTAAGTAAACTAATATTGAGGACTGCGGCCTTCTAGCGAAACTACATACTTAGTATTAATAAAAAATCATCGGTTACGATTCGATTATTTTAACGTGATTACTTAGCAATCGACACTCGTAGTGATCGTAATGCTATTACATAGATATCCACTTCATATATAGAAACCTATTAATCTCAATAACACGTTCCTTAAATTATTAAAAAGTATTTGTAAAACGTAGTACTTACGATATTCATGTTCCTTTTTCTTAAACAAACATAAAGCGTATATTAAGACTGATCCAACAGCGGCTAATAGGGCTACTACTGCTGTAATATACACTTTAGGACTGACGTAATACATTTCTTGTAGAGGATCGTTATCTTCTATTTGGTCTCTTTGTATGAGTTGATCTCTTGAGGTGTCTGTTTTACTTGTAGCATTTTCTTTTAGTAATTTTTTACCGTCCCGTATTTTACCTTCGTCTTTACTTTCGTGCTCGTTGTCGAAATAGTTTTCCTTTGTTTTTTTTGTGGTAGCATTTATAACCTTATTGTGTACATTAAATACATCATTATGATGATCACTTAAATTCACATTTTTGTTTTCGATAGGGCTTTTAGATGTTGGAGTTTCTACTGTTATTGTCATATTACCATTGTTTGATTCTAAAAATATGCATTCCATAACTGAGTTAATATTGTATGATTTTATATTTTCATTAAAGTAAACACAATGTAATATAGTTCTATTTGAAGAGTTCCATAACCTATTTACTTTGGTGTCGTTGCTATGTAACCGTGTATTATTTGTGTTTATTAAAATTATGTCCAATTCTAAAATGTTGTTGTTTTTAAGAGATTTTGTTTTATAATTGTCACAGTTTGTGATCACGAGCTTAAATAATGTCGAATTAAAGTTGTTATGGATAAGCTCACTTTGTTTATCTGGCCATTGGCTGATAATTCTACCTTTGCTAATATTTAATGAAAGTCTTTCACTGCAATCACTAACGTTATTATGTAGAAAATGCAATTTCAGACTTTTACTGGCATTGGACTCAAAATCTTCTGAATTCGTGAAATTATCTTTATAAACTTCACCTGAAATAAATAGAACTTTACTGCCATCTAGGTGAGCTTTTTTATCATCAGTACTGTATTCTTCGGTACAAGTTTGATAATCGAATACTGTGTATGTATTAAATAATTCTACATCTTCAGAATAACTTTCTCTAGTAATGTTAACTTTTTTTAGTTTACAGTGATATACTAGCGATTGATTAAAGTCTCCTTCAAACAAATCAATTTCTGGTAAACTATTATTACCACTGGTTGTAGTGTAGTTATCCTTTTTTATCTGCATTTCTACAGATTCATCTACATTGCAATCAATGCTTAGTTCTGTACTATTTTCATGTTTAAATTTTTCTGTACAGTTTATATACCTTAGTTTTGTATTCAAAATATTTAAATCAATCGATATATATAAACTAACATCAAATATGGGTAGAGTTAGATTACGATCATCTATCTTCTCATCTTGACAATAATATTTTGTTATTATACTGCTGGTTAATGCTTTAATGTGACTAACATTGATATTTTTGTATTTATTAATTATATTTGTACAATTAAAATTATCTTTACTGTTATTCATAATCAAAAATACTGAACTATCTTTATTTCCAATTGAAGTTATTTTTATTTGTAAAATAGTATCACTATTTTCAGTGTAATCATGAATTTTATTAGAGTTCGTACAAAGGTTATTGTTTAAAACACATTGTTCAAAAAGAATTGACGCCTCAGTGTTATTATAAATGAACTCTGTGATATTTGAAGTTGGTTTATTAGCATGAATTAGGTTTATATTCACTATCTTTTTAATTTCATTTTTGAGAGTTTCCTTTGATTCTTTTTTATCACATGTCTGTTTATAATCTTTAATTAAACATTCTAAGGGATATTTTTTTATAGTATTATTTTCAATGACTGTTGTTTTATCTATTTGATGTCTGTCTTTGCCGAATTCCTTATTTTCATTCGTGGTTATATTTTCATCTATTTTAATGTGCTCTAAGAGTTTAGATGATTTAATTATAGGAACACATACAGATTCAAAACCGATGTAGTCAAATTTTATGACATAACTTTTATTGGAATAACTTTCGTCACTAGAAAGTATTTTCAAAGATTCTTCAGAGCAGTTGTCATGATTCAATTCCACATCATCTCTGTAAGGAGAAAGCAAAATTATATTACTATGAAGGTTATCAAACGTTTTTAAAAGTACGAGAAAATAGAAACTTACAGTTTTATTGCCTCTCTAATAAGGGTTGAATTCGTTGGACACGATGTTTCTTTTATTATAATTAGGTATTCTTTGCATTTTGTATGACAAATAGCGGCAGTATAGAAATTCTGAAACAAATGAGTTGTTAAAAATAATTCAATCCATTAGTAGCATTACTTATTATCATCGACAACAACCTTTAACGGTACACTGCTGGACAAATACCTCTCATTGGAATGGCTCTTTTTGGGGCTACTGTACCATCTAGGCCAGACGGCTTGTTAAAAAATTTTTTTTTTCTCTTTGTAATGCTGTTATTATGCAGAGTTAGCTGTTTTAGTCGGCTTTTACACATGCATTACTTATATTTCTACTTATATTTTGAATTGAATGGTAGCTACCAAATTTAACAACAGACTAAAATATGTGAACTAAATAGAAGTTATTGCTCAAAATAAATGCAGAGTGTGTGTAATTTGTGGAGCTAGACCAAAAAACGTAAACCAGATACGTTCACCAGTCTTCTGGAGGGGCTGGAGGCACTAACTTTCATTTTTTGACTGTGTGTGCTGGACTTCGAATTCTCGTCTTGGAATGTTCGCTCGGATTAGTTTAAAACACAATTGCAATATCAATCTTAAGATACAAAGAGTTTATGTCTCACTGAACTAACTGATAAAATCGAATATACATACATAATATACACTATCAAAATTTGCCATTGCCAAAAGTTAGTTAATAGTAACGTTTTGCGAAAATTAAGGTCTTCATTTTTAAATTGTTACTGCTCTACAAATTTCACTTTCATTAAAATCGGATGAGCGATATCGCAGTAGATATTCAATTTGTGTACAAAACTACTCTTTTTTTTTAAATATTCCTGATTTAAAAATCTATGTCTGGATTTAGTTTTCAAGCTACTTTTTTTTAGTTTGATTACGTAATTGCAGTTCAGTTTTGACTCACTGTTAACCTGTTTAATAATCTGTGTAGCGCTTTTATTTTTTCTGCCCAAAACCCATGGCCGTAAATGACGCTATTATCGAGGTTGTGCAAGAATACGTCTATCTTGGCCAAGGAATCCAACTAGGCCGGGGCACAACAACTTCGATCAGGAGACCGATAGAAGAATTCATCTGGGCTGGTCGGCATATGGGAAGCTTCGTCATATCTTTGAGTCGCCAATCCCGGAATTGCTTTAAACCTTTAGTCGATAAAGTTCGAAACAAAACAATTCGACAGAGAACTGGAGTAACCGCACAGAGAATCAGTACGCTGAATTGGAAGTGGGCCGGTCATGTCCCCGGGCGGACTGAAAGACACTGGAGCGGACATGCTCTAGAGTGGAGACCGCGATTGACCAAACGTAGTGTAGGGGCCTGGATGGATGCGGACTGCCCAAGACCGGGATGGTTGGCACTCTTGGGGAGAGGCCTTCGTTCAGTAGTGGACGGCAATATGCTGAAGTAGTAGCGCTTTTGTTGAAAAGAATCGGTCTAAAATGTGAAACAGCCGAAATCAAATGCCAGAGATAAAAAAAGACCACATATTACCTTTAATTTGACATCGTTCCTAGCTGTTTTTAAGTATCTATTGGGTTTGAGTGTTATTTTCCTAGGTCTATTCATGCGAAATACACGTGATTAAAGGTCAACCGAGCACAACATTTTATATGGAGTTAGAAGACACAATCTTTCGTTTGAAAGATTTTATGTATATATTTTATATTAAATAATTAAGATATGTTGATGTTTTTAAATGTTAATAATGATAATAATGTTATTCTATTTTTATTTTATTATTTATACTGGGTCTACCAATAGGGATGACCTGGTTTTGACAGCTCATAGCGGCCATGTTTAATGATGGATCTTTGACGTCTCTTGACATTTGTGTTCAGTAAGGTTTGCCATTTTATCATGTCACGTTTCACTTTAAACCAACGTTTGGAAATTGTCCAAATATTCTTTGAAAGTGACGAAGGAAACCCTGTTACTCTGAATGGCGAGCGCTATACCTCGATAGAATTTGATGATATTGATGCAGACGACCTTTATTTTTCAACAAGACGGTGCACCACCTCACATTACTCGAGTGAACATGGAATTATTTCGTGGAAAGTTTGGTGAGTCTTTAATTTCGAGAAATGGACCGATCAGTTGGCCACCAAGATCGTGTGATTTAACACCTTTAGACTATTTTCTTTACGTTACGGGTTACGGGGTTACGTTAAATCTAAAGTGTACAGCAATAATCCAGCTACAATTCGTGACCTAAAAACCAACATTCGACGAGCATGCGAAATGGTGCACCGCGTCATCGAAAATTGGCGTGAGCGGGTGACCGTCTGCAAAAAGAGCCGCGGCGGTCATTTGGCTGATTTATTATTTAAAACATAAATTGCATAAAATTATCTATCAAAAAATCAATCGGATGCATTTTTCATAAAAAATTGTGTGTTTTATTTAATTTTTAAACCAGGACATTCTTATTGGTAGACCCCATATTTTTTTATAAAGTATATGTTTAAAAATATAATTGATATGTATATAAAAGAAAAAAAAAATGATATCTAACACACAAAAAGCAGTTTCTAGTTTCTAGTTTCCAACTAAGCAAAGCTTCTCCTAAGAAAGCTAGATTGAGTGATAAAATACTTTTATACGTTTTTTTTTGTAAAAACATACATATTATACATAGAAAACACCCAAACTCCGAAACAAATATTTGCATATCATACAAACATCTGATTCGACCCGGGAATCGAACCCGAGACCTCATCACTGCAGTGGCATACGCTACCACTGCTCTACCGAGGCAGTCAATATTGTTTTATAACTTTAACTGAGGAATAAAAATATAAATAATTAACACAGGAAAAAACCTATTAAGATGTATAAAATCAAAGAACTTTTAAAATCTAGTCTCAATAACGATTACAACCAGTCTGAACAAAGATATTATTACATTCCTTTGGATGTATGCATGTTTGTATATACTCGTATGTATGTATCTATATTCAGCTGGGTAATTTTAATTGTATAGATTTTGCTGTAATAAATTATTCTATTAATGTTTGATATAAACAAGCCAATACAAGTAGAAGTCACTTACCAAGCTTGAAACTTAGTTGAGTTCTAGATTTCAATTAAAAAAATTCAAATGAAATATTTTTGTTGTGTAATTTGAATAGAATAGAATAGAATAGAATAGAATAGAATAGAATAGAATAGAATAGAATAGAATAGAATAGAATAGAATAGAATAGAATAGAATAGAATAGAATAGAATAGAATAGAATAGAATAGAATAGAATAGAATAGAATAGAATAGAATAGAATAGAATAGAATAGAATAGAATAGAATAGAATAGAATAGAATAGAATAGAATAGAATAGAATAGAAGAGAATAGAATAGAATAGAATAGAATAGAATAGAATAGAATAGAATAGAATATATTTTATTTGTATTGATTGTAGGTACATAAAATAGTGATGTTAACAAGTTTTCTAATCCTTATACAATCTACCTGGACTAGGCATGCAAACATTAAAAATGCATCAAAAATTAACAATAAATTCAAAACAACAAATAAATTTTTGAATGATTACAACTTATAATATTAATATAAATAAAGTGGTCAAAATAATTACGTCAGCAATATTGATTGAAGGAAGGAAAATAAATTCAATGTCAAATAAACATAGGTAATGTCAAAAAAACTAACATCTAAAGTTTATCATTCAAAAAATAAATAACAAAGTTCAAAACAAAGAAATATAACTATATAATGTTGAAGGGTATTCATCATCAGCCTATCGCAGTCCACTGCTCGACATAGGCCTCTCCCATTGCATGCCACTTAGATCGATTTTGGGCTTCTCGCATCCAGCTAAGGGTATTATTATATGTTCTTAGTTATATTTCGAGCTGAAAGTTATTTTTGATTGGCTTTCTGTAATAAAAAGTCTATCCTCAGTGTTGTCCTGAATGTTCATTTTTTATTTATCCTAATAACACTGGTAATCATCAAAAATAGAGAAAAATTAGATCGTATTATAATGTCTAATTAAGCCGCTCATACACTCTAGTGGCTCACTATGTGGTCTACAATATTGTATTTGGTAAATACAAATGCAATAAATCTTAAATATACAAATTTAATGAACCCTTTCTGTGTCATTATTTAATCTTACCACGACTATAAGATAGCAGTGTAGACGTCATTCTTATTGCACAAGTTAAGAATATATATTATAATACTTACAGTTAAGAAAAATAACAAAAAAAATACATTTGACATATTTCACAGTACTGAGAATACGCTGTCCACTGAGGCAGTCACTCTGGTTAACACAACAAACAATTCTGAATATTTGATTTATTCATTATATTCTTCCTCAAATGACAAGCCATAGACAGGGTCGTATATTACGTCAAGGACTCTATTAATAAACTACAATAAACTATTTTCCATTAGCATGAAGTGCTTTGTTAAACGTGCTTCACAGTACCGACTCTCATGTGCAAACAGAAACATAAGAAATACTTTATAGCAAAACATAAGATTATTTTGCTGTGATTTCTGAAAGAAATGCACTTTTATTTTTTTAAGTACACCAGTAAACAAGTAGACTGGTCACCTGATTATAAGTGACTGTCGATGCTCACGGACACCTGCAACTAAAGAGTCACAGGTACGTTGCCGAGCTTTGAGTAGTCACAAGCAAAGACTAGGTACTTAACAGAGCCCCGGGATAGGGCCTTACTAGGCGTCGATCCGGGGTGGACCTGAAATATCATGGTCCGGGTCCTCCTCGGAGTAAGGCGCCTGAGTCCGGCCGTCGAAATGGTTTTTAGTGGAAACACCACATACTCATGGCTCCATATCCACAAAGGGCTCCCTATAATTTTATAACTAAAAATACTATAAATATAACTCAACTGTGCTAAAATCAGTTGTACTCGTATGCACAGTGTTAAGCAGTGGTATGCGTAACGGCAAGACAAAGTAATGAAATTAATATGTATAACATTTTACGATAACTCTAATATTTTAAAGTGTAATAATTGTACTGTAATAAAAGTTAATATTAAATGTAGGTATATCTAGCGCAACACTCACTCTTTCTGGTGCTTTTAACTCTCGCAAATGTCATAAGCAAAGCTTTTTTTCACTCATTACCCTTGCTTTCGAACAACAACATCAAGTATTTCATTTCTTAAATTATATTATGATTATCAGCATTTTACATTAATTTTCAGTTAATTAAACAGAAAGAGATTTAGATCACGACTTTAAAAACATAACCAATTTCGCGTAATAAATTCGGAACATTTTAATGATAAGGACATAAGGTTTAAAAATATTATTTTCCTTATCGTAGTCGTATCTTCTTTTTCTTGTTGTCTTTTCTATCAACTCGGTTGACAAAACTGGGTATCGCTCGTTGGTAAAAAACTTAAAGCTTAGTTAAGCGAGAGAATATTCAAACTTATATATTTTGGTTCTTTTTGATTCTGTTCATGGTTATTTAAGGGAAAAGTTAACAATAATACTGATGGATTATTGATTTAGTCCTCGGGGAACACGACTGGTTCATAGCCAAGAGTATTTCATAAAATTGCTTCAAGTTGGTTTAATTTTCAATCAACAATTAAATTAATGAACACCGTGTAACCTCAACAATAAGGTATGGATGTCAAATTTTAACAGCAATAAATTATCAAATAATGTTGTTTCAAAAAGTTCAAATTTCTCTTCTTTACAAAGTAAAGATAAAGGCGTTTTTTTCTTGTACGCTTAGATCTTTTAAACTAAGCAACGGATTCTAACGCGGTTTTCACCAATAGAGAGAGTGACTTTTAAACTGGTACCGTTACAGAGTTTCGATGGGCTTAGATTTCTTAGGAGCATTACAGGTACGCCGACCTTTAAATTTATCTTATGAGCTGGCAATCCAGAAGAACTGAGAGATTTAAAAAAATCTACTGAATAGTTGGTAGATTCAACTTCTTCATAAATCAATTAGCCCCCGAAACAAAGCTCAAAATTTTAGTGTTTATTGCTGCCGCTTGATCGTTTCATGGTGGAAAAATAGCTCTTTTGCAAAGCCAGGTATTTGTTTAAGTTACTATTTACATTACGTTTCCATACACCATAGTATATAGTGTCGCATCGATAAAACTATGCAACACAGGTTTTCATGTAAAACAACTTTTCCTTGTTCCTGCGGATACATATCATTACCAATCTCAAGTAGCAAATCAGAAAACTTTTGTGTATTAGCGTCCCTCCGATTCGCGCTCGATATTTATTGCATAATGCATAGGGATAAAGTAGTGCCACAATCTAGAACTCTTTAGATATGCTCTCACTTCATCAGCCTTGGTATAACGGCCAGAGTCTGACAAAAGTCGCCACAAAAAAAGTATTGTAATACCGCTCATCGGTTGGTCATTTTGCTTAAATCAGGTAATATTCTATTTGCAACTCCTGTGCGGGCTAAGACGATCGAAATTTAAACATACTATGGGCAGTTTTCTGTCCTAATAACAAAGTGGCTGCTACGACCGATGAAGCGACAGCAAGCGCAATTTTACTTTGGCTTCGTATCTGCGCCAAAATAACTTTGGGTAAGAAAAGTCTTTCCCGTTTCACCCTGCGCATCTATAAACAACTTTTCCAAAGCACAGTCTACGCTGCTGCGACACGTACAATCGAACCGCTATTTCCTCTCCTCCTTGGATTGGTGACCATTAGAGGTCAAATTTGCGTGCTGAAGGTCATATCCAATTGTAATTTTTTCCTCTCTTTTCAATTCCAGACTCAAAAATAAGCAATCGCATTGAAAATTACCCTTGACCCTTCAGATAACCTTCAAGGTTGCGATCAATGTCAGTAATCTGTAACTTTTGTGTTAACGTATTTCCGAAAAAATGCATCACAAGCAAATTATTCTGCTATAGAGAGATTTAATACATATTAGCGTGTAATACATTGTAATTTTTTTTTTATGTTAGGAGGGCAGACGAACAGACGGGTCACCTGATGTAATAAAAAATACCACGTCTTTACTTTGAATTTATGCAAAGTAACAAAACACACATGCACCGAAGTTTTAACATAAAGCGTAAGTGGGTAGGTACCTACCGTATCATGATTCATTCAGAACCTCATATAACTACCTATTTCACTCGTCTCAATAACTTTCCGTTACTCTATTCGCTTTATTAATTAATCCAAACACCTTTTTTTTTCGTAAGATAAAAGGAAATACTTATCCATAAAAAAGACACACATTATGTACCTACCTACGAGTAAGTAAAATTATTTTATAGTCTTACCTTTCAGAGTTTCCAGGTAATTTAAAAAAACTTATGTCTGGATGCTTTATTGACGAATTCATACAACCAAAAACAGCACAATATTTCGTACTCGTCATATTAACTGATTTTTAGAGAAAAAATCGCGCGGTTATTGTTAAAAAAACAACACACAGTCGGTTCGACACTGCGGTACAGCCGTGACTGTCTGCGCCCCGAGCGCACCCCGAGATCGAGGCGCGTAGGTATAGCTCGCGTTTCGTCCGTTTGTATGAAGTTGGAGTACTGTATTATAATAGTACCGTGACAGTGTTAAGCAGTGGTATGCGTAACGGCAAGACAAAGTAATGAAATTAATATGTATAACATTTTACGATAACTCTAATATTTTAAAGTGTAATAATTGTACTGTAATAAAAGTTAATATTAAATGTAGGTATATCTAGCGCAACACTCACTCTTTCTGGTGCTTTTAACTCTCGCAAATGTCATAAGCAAAGCTTTTTTCACTCATTACCCTTGCTTTCGAACAACAACGTCAAGTATTTCATTTCTTAAATTATATTATGATTGTCAGCATTTTACATTAATTTTCAGTTAATTAAACAGAAAGAGATTTAGATCACGACTTTAAAAACATAACCAATTTCGCGTAATAAATTCGGAACATTTTAATGATAAGGACATAAGGTTTAAAAATATTATTTTCCTTATCGTAGTCGTATCTTCTTTTTCTTGTTGTCTTTTCTATCAACTCGGTTGACAAAACTGGGCATCGCTCGTTGGTAAAAAACATAAAGCTTAGTTAAGCGAGAGAATATTCAAACTAATATATTTCTTTTTGATTCTGTTCATGGTTATTTAAGGGAAAAGTTAACAATAATACTGATGGATTATTTATTTAGCCCTCGGAGAACACGACTGGTTCATAGCCAAGAGTATTTCATAAAATTGCTTCAAGTTGGTTTAATTTTCAATCAACAATTAAATTAATGAACACCGTGTAACCTCAACAATAAGGTATGGATGTCAAATTTTAACAGCAATAAATTATCAAATAATGTTTCAAAAAGTTCAAATTTCTCTTCTTTACAAAGTAAAAATAAAGGCGTTTTTTTCTTGTACGCTTAGATCATTTAAACTAAGCAACGGATTCTAACGCGGTTTTCACCAATAGAGAGAGTGACTTTTAATCTGGTACCGTTACAGAGTTTCGATGGGCTTAGATTTCTTAGGAGCATTATAGGTACGCCGACCTTTAAATTTATCTTATGAGCTGGCAATCCAGAAGAACTGAGAGATTTAAAAAAATCTACTGAATAGTTGGTAGAATCAACTTCTTCATAAATCAATTAGCCCCGAAACAAAGCTCAAAATTTTTGTGTTTATTGCTGCCGCTTGATCGTTTCATGGTGGAAAAATAGCTCTTTTAGCCAAAGGCCAGGTATTTGTTTAAGTTACTATTTACATTACGTTTCCATACACATAATATATAGTGTCGCATCGATAAAACTATGCAACACAGGTTTTCATGTAAAACAACTTTTCCTTGTTCCTGCGGATACATATCATTACCAATCTCAAGTAGCAAATCAGAAACTTTTGTATATTAGCGTCCCTCCGATTCGCGCTCGGATATTTATTGCCAAATGCATTGGGATAAAGTAGTGCCACAATCTAGAACTCTTTAAATATGCTCTCACTTCATCAGCTTTGGTATAACGGCCAGAGTCTGACAAAAGTCGCCACAAAAAAGTATTGTAATACCGCTCATCGGTTGGTCATTTTGCTTAATATCACGTAATATTCTATTTGTAACTCCCTGTGCGGGCTAAGACGATCGAAATTTTAAACATACTATGGGCAGTTTTCTCACCTGATGACAAAGTGGCTGCTATGACCGATGAAGCGACAGCAAGCGCAATTTTACTTTGGCTTCGTACCTGCGCCAAAATAACTTTGGTAAGAAAAGTCTTT